GACCCATCAGAATAAAATTTTGGGAAATTATATCAAAGACAGAACCTAAACATAAAAGACTAAACTTCAAAAATGGGAAAAAAAGGGGCCTCCCTTGTGGCGCATGGGGTTAAGATTCAACCTCTGAAGCTATCTGTAGCCTCTGGGTACGAGTTTGATCCCCCGCCAGGGAGCTGACCCACATGGTGCAGCAGACCTCTCCTGTCTCGTCCGCTGCTCCCCTCAGCAGTGTATTTCAGTAGATTTGCCTGTTCTGTTCCCCACTCTGTCTCTGGTGAATCCTTTCACCCCCCACATCTTTTACCTACACACACCCCAGTTCTTGTATGCATAAATAAATAAATCTTTTTTAAAAAATGGAATAAAAAGAGGACTTACTATCCTTAAAGGAGCAATAATTAGACAGACAACTGTTTCTATCGTAGGCAAAAAAAAAAAGAAGCCGCAGACAGTAAAATAATAATGTAATTATAGTGAGAGAAAATAACTTCCAACCTAGAATTCCATAGCCAATGAAAATGTCCTTCAAAAACAAAGCTGAGAGGGCCTCCCCTGGTGGCGCAGTGGTTGAGCACTGGGCTGTGAGGCTGTCTGCAGCCTCTGAAGCGCCGGTTCATTCCCTGACCACTGGTGAGGGTCCCACCAAAAAAAAAAAAAAAAAAAGCTGAGAGGGGCTTTCCTGGTGGCACAGGGGTTAAAGACAGTGCTATCAAGCTATCACCAGCTGCTGCAGCACAAGTTCGATTCCTGGCTGACCAGGGAGATACCCACATGGTGCAGCAGACCTCTCCTGTTGACCCACTGCTCCCCTCAGCAGAGTATCTCAGTCAGTCTGCCTGTTCTGCTCCCCACTCTGTCTCTGATGAATTCTCTCATCCTCTTGTGCCCCTGGCCTATACCCCAGTTCTTGTATGCATAAATAAATCTTAAAAAAAAATAAAAAAAGCTGAGGGGCTGCCCTCTGCCCACCTGTGACTATGCAGATGTTTCTCTTCACCAACCTGTCTCTTTCAAGGGCAGCTTTTTCTGCCTGCTTTTGTCTGTGCAAGTGTCCTTTATTCTTCTCCTCCTTTTTATAATAAACCTGCCCTTTTGGATATAAAAACAAACAAACAAACAAAAACAAAGGTGAAATAAAGGCATTTTAAATAAACTCAAACCAAGAAAGCTAGTCTCTAACAGGAAGGCACTAATTCTTAAGCAGGAGTATTAATGCAAATTAAATAAGTATTAATGTCTGTGGGATTGAAAATATATGGAGACTTTAAATTCGACACATATGTTCACCCACACCTAGTCAAGAGAAATGGATGCATCTGCCTACAAGATATCTTGAACAAAAATGCTCATAGAAGCTTTACTCATTATGGCCCCAAACTGTAATCAGTTCAGATGTGTTTGCATGTATCTCAGTGAGTTTTTGGTCGTGAATTCATCGACAGGAAATTGGATAGACAAACTATGCTATATTTTTATGAAGGAATATTACTGATAAATTAAAAAAAGGACAAATTGGGGTCTCCCTGTTGGCGCAGGTGCAGGGGTTAAAGACAGCTCTATCAAGCTATCACCAGCCAATCTCCTCCTCCCTCCCACCTCCCTCCCCACAGGGAGCTGACCCACTGGGCTCAGCAGACCTCTCCTGTCATGCCCACTGCTCTCCTCAGCAGTGTTTTCAGTAAATCTGCCTGTTCTATTCCCCACTCTCTCTGGTGAATACTCTCACCTCCCACACCTTTGGCTTACACCCCTGTTCTTGTGTGCATAAATAAAGAAATCTTTAAAAAAAATTAAAAATATAAAAAGGACAAATTGCTGGTAAGTGCAAAAACAAGGATAAATCTTGAAATGTGTCAAGCAAAAGAGTACATTCAGTGTGAGCTCATGTATGTGAAATTCAAGAACAGATAAAACTAATTATGATAGACATTTGAACAGTCGAAAAAATCAAATAGTACTCCATAAAACTAAAAACTTCTGCACAGAGAAAGAAACAATCTTCAAAATGAAAAGACATTCTATTGAAGAGGAGAAATGTTTGCACATTGTATATCTAACAAGCGTTAATACAATATCTGAGATAATAAAAAAATTATACAACTCAGCAAAAACAACATAGTTCCCCTCCAAAATGAATATCTGCACAGACACTTCTCTGAAAAAGATATTCAATCAAAAAAGATATTCAGTAGGTCAACAGGCACATAAAATACTGTTCATCATCACTTGTCAATCAAAACCACATGAGGTACCACCTTACACCTGTGAGAATGTCCCACATCAAAAAGACTACAAACAACAACAAATGTTGGTGAGGTGTGGAGAAAAGGGAACCCTCTTACACTATTGGTGGGAATGTAAATTGGTGGGATCTCTGTGGAAAACATTTGAAGGTTCTGTAAAAAAAGTAAAAATAGATCTACCATATGATGCAGCAATAAATTTCTAGATATCTACACAACGAATATAAAAACACATATAGGGGCCTCCCTGGTGGCACAAGGGGTTAATGTCAGCACTATGAAACTATAGGCAGCCACTGCAGTACAAGTTCCATTGCAGGCGGTGGAGCTAACCCGCATGGCACAGCAGACCTGTCCTGTCCCTGCTGCTCCCCTCAGCAGTGTATTTCAGTCAATCCTCCTGTTCTGCTCCCCACTCTGTCTCTGGTGTATCCTCTCACCTCCCTGTACCTCTGGCCTACACCCCAGTTCTTGTATGCATAAATAAATCTTAAAAAAATACACATATAATAAAACACACGTGTATTGGAAAAGAGACAAGTATACCTATGTTCTTTGTAGCACTATTTAAAACAGTCAAGATACCAAAACAGCCTAAGTGCCCATTGATGAATGAGTAAATAAAGAAAATGTGGTATAAGTTTTCAATGGTATGCTATTCAGCTATATGGGGGGAAAAAAATCCATCTTAACCACTTTCAACAATATGGATGAAACTGGAGAGGATTAGGATCAGACAAATCAGAACGAGAAAGACAAATATGACTTCACTCATGTGGAGTAAAAGATAAAAGAAAAAAACCAAGGAAAGGAGCAGACAAAATTGATTCTGACAACCCAGGTCACCAGAGTGGGGGCAAAAGGTAGAGGAGGGGTGGGGGTGGGGGGGTCCAGTAGACTGTGGTGGAGGATTATTGGCTGTTGGTGGTGAGGTGGTGTAATAACACATTTGAGAGGGGTGAACCTGTACTCCTAAAACTTACACAGTGTTGTAAGTGTTACCTCAATAAACAAGTATATAAAAGTTCTGAACAAGAACAACCAAAAAAGTAAGAGAAATCAGAATAGTGATTTCCTCTAGGGGTGGGGCAAAGAGTAAACTTTCTGAGGTAATGTAATGTTCTTTTATTTGGGCAGTGGTTACACGGGCAGCATATAGTCCTCAACATGAATGGAGCTGTACTTTTAAGATTTGTGAATTTCACTTTAGCAAATTATACATCATTTAAGCACTGGGAAGTACTGTGCAACAGCAACACTATATAATTCTGTAGGGTGTGATGATGGTAAATGAAATTATTGCTTCATTTTTCACAAGGAGAGTAAAAAACAGCACACAAATTAGATTTCACTGAGTCAAGGACGCGTACTGTAATTTTTAAGGTAGGTAACCATTAAAAGAATAGAAAGAGTGCATAACTTCCAGATAACAGAGGTAGGGAAGGAATAAAAACCTTAATTTTAAAGAAGGCAAGAAGAGAGAGAAAAAAGATTACAGGAAGGACAAAAAGCACAGTGATATGCTTGATTTACATGAAAATACATTAAGTGTATCTGTATAATGTGGCCTCATATAAAGTTGAAATCCACCAGAGAATTTGTAGAGTGAGTGTAAGGGCAGGACTGGGCACAGTGCAGGTTTTCTGATCCCATGCAGACCGCGTAAAGGAGGAGTCAGAGTCCTCAGTAGTTTTGCAGGTTTTTTATTTGGGGTTCACCAGGCATATGGCAGGCAGGGGTGCTGGCTGGGGGGCTGGGAGGCCTCCCAGCCCCCAGCAAGTCTTCACTCTATCTGGGCTCTCTAGCTTTTGTTCTGCTGCTTCTCGGCTGCTTCTCGGCTGCTTCTCGGCTTCTGCTTCGACTTCTGCTGCTGCTGCTGCTGCTGCTGCTGCTGCTGCTGCTGCTGCTGCTGCTGCTGCTGCTGCTGGCGCCCCCCGTGACGCCGCCCTTAAAAGCACAGTCTTAGCTCAGCTGAATCCCATCTACCTATGCCCACACCCTATTCCAGGTGCCCGCCATCAGGCATGCATTCAGGACAAGGATCCATCATCTATCCTGATGGCGGAAGAGCAGAAAAGCCTGACATTTTCTTTATCCTACAGTGAGGAACAGAAATGTGAGGAAACTGAGCAACAGCGAGCGGATCTTTTCTTCTTGTCAAATCCCTTGCTCATTTCCTGAGCTCTCGTTCTGAAGGCTGCCTCGGTTTTCCTTCTACTCACTTACCTTCTTTAGTTTTCTACTCTGATTCAATCAACCATACCCTTTCTCAAAACCGCTTCTACCCTCTCTAGCCTTTGGTGAAATACACTCAAGCGCGTCGTGTTCATTGTTACCTGAGGTCCATTCCTATTCCCTCGTTTCACTTGCTGATGGCAAGAGTTTCGTACTGTCCTAGGAAAAGAAAATATGATTTGTCCTAAGTAGAAATAAAAAAATGCCACGATAGCAGAGGATGGTTTCGATCCATCGACCTCTGGGTTATGGGCCCAGCACGCTTCCGCTGCGCCACTCTGCTATCTGGAAAATAGTTCTCTCAATTCCTATAGAAAGTTTCCAGTATGCTCTGCCCTTGCTGCTATACAGCGCCACCTAGTGTCTGATAAAAAGGTCATCACAGTCTAAGCTGTCCTTATTGGTCACTTCCTGACACCGCAGTCGTTTTTTATTGGTTTATAAAGCGGACTTGCCAAAATAAACCAATAGGAATTAAGATCGGAATTAGGAGGGAGCCAATCGCGCCGGATTTTGTTGAGACACGCGGGCTAGCAGCCTTTCCAGTTGTCGCTCTTCTGAGGAAAGGGGCGGTTGGTGTGGCCTCCATTGTTCGGGATTTAGGGCGCCATGAGGTAAAGGCCTTAGGGTACTCTGGAAAGGTTTCGGGTATTCGAAGCCTTTGGTATGGTGTGCCGAAGCGCCACGTATCTGGGGGCCGCCCTAAAGCTCGGGAACTCGAGTCTGGGAGAGGGGGAGGTCGAGGCCGCGGGGGTGGGGAACCTGGGCCTGGATGGGGGTGGGGCCCGGGAGGCGGGAGGCGGGCTGGACACCTTCGTTTCTGAGGGGTTTAGTGGGGGTGTCGTCCTGTCCCAGGCGGTGCTCCCCCATCTAGACTGAGAAAGCGGGAACGTGCCGCACGCATCCCCAGTGCCAAGTGCTTGGCATATAGGATGTGCCCCGAAAATGTTTTTACTCCCTTAAAACCCCCACTACCTTAATGAGTAAACGAAGTATTTAGTCAGTGAAGTATTAGGGTTGAGGTGACCCACGGGCTAAGGGATCTTTCTTGTAGGGACTGGTGTTGTAAGTCCCCTCGTTTCGCTGTGGGGTCGTGATAATCCACACTGAGGCGAAGGGGTGAGGCTGGGCATGTGGGATGGGGAGAAGTGTTTGCGGGAACAGGGTCTCGGAATCCTGAGGGAAATTCGGAGCGTTGGCAGGTTAACTTGAAATGATGTGGCCTGCATGGTGGAAATTCAGATTTTCAATTTAGTTTGTCAAAACAAGCTAAAATCTGTGTATTTCTAGGGGAGACAGAGGCCGCGGCCGTGGTGGGCGTTTTGGCTCCAGAGGAGGCCCAGGAGGAGGGTGAGTCCCAGTTTTTAGCGTCTCTCTCTGGTTTCCGTTTCAGTTCATCTAAGTAGGAGTTTCCACTAGGTTAATGTTAACTTACTTTTGTGACATTCAACTGTAATATGGAACCATTTCTTTTCATGGTCTCTTGTTAATTGGGTCTGGCCTTATTCTATTCAGTCACTTGATTTCTGGGGTGAATAATTAGGATTTTTTTTTTTTTTCCGTTTGTTTGTTTGCTTTAGGTTCAGGCCCTTTGTGCCACATATCCCATTTGATTTCTACTTGGTGAGTACTATGGCCACTGTTTACCTTTGGATATAGAAATAGAGCCCTGTGTATCTCCCTGTAATGAAATCAGTGATGGAGTAAGAGAAGGATTTGGGGAGTGGAATTGGGGTTTTGAGTCAGATGTATGTTGCTTACATACAAAAACAATGTAAATAGTGTGGGGAAGATAATCCCTTGGCTGTCTTGACAGTGACAGGATTATAATCCTTGATCTGAATAATTAATTGTACCTCTGGCTTAACTGATACTATAAAGTTAGTAGGAGAGTTTAAAATTACAGCTGTTCACTAGTTCAGTCCCCGGCCAGGGAGCTGCCCACATGGCGCAGCAGACCTCTCCTGACTCACTTGGCTGCTCTGCTTAGCAGTATGTTTCGGTCAGTCTGCCCGTTCTGCTCCCTGCTCTGTGTCTGGTGAATCCTCTCACTCCCCCACACCTCTGGCCTGTACGCCAGTTCTTGTATACATAAATAAATGAATCTTTTTTAAAAAAAACTGCTTTTCAAAAACATTTATAAAATAAAATAAAATTACAGCTGTTCCTTCTAGTTTGTATCCTTGTTTGAACATTCTAAGGAATTAGAAATAAGTTGTAGGGCCTCCTCGGTGGCGCAGTGGTTGAGCGCTGGGTTGCGAAGCTGCCCGCAGCCTCTGCAGCGCTGGTTCAATCCCTGGCTGCTCCCCAGCCACCATAGGAGGGTCCCACATGGCGCGCAGACCTGTCCTGCCGCCCGCTGCTCCCCTCAGCAGTGTACTTCGGTCCTTCTACCTGCGCTTCTGACTGTACCCAGTGCTTGTATAAATAAATAAATCTTTAAAAAAAAAAAAAAGGTTGTAGGTTTTTCTATTTTCAATTTTTCCTATTGTAACAACAGAAAGAACAATTTCTCCTGTGTATTATTTTTGGTGAATAGTATATAGTTGTGTGTTTTGGTTTAGTGTGAGATGGCCTTCCCCCGGGTCAAGCCAGCGCCTGATGAAACTTCCTTCAGTGAGGCCTTACTGAAGAGGAATCAGGACCTTGCTCCTAATTCTGCTGAACAGGTATATTTTGGCTTCCTTCCTGAGGTTTCTTAAGAAAGCTTGAGAAGTGAATAACTACCAGTGAAGTTACCGTTATCTGAGCTTATACTCCACATAGAGTTTCATTCTTTTCCTTATTTCATTGGGGCTGGAGAAAGACAGTATGTAAACATACATTATATACGTGTATTTATATTATCATTGAGGAACTATCTTTGGCAACAAAAGGTTCTTTTTTGGCATAGTCAAGTCCGGAAAGATCAGAATGTTTTCAAGGCCCTGTTTTGTTATTGATACAGCTTGTATGGAAGGGATTAGGGGGAAGTATTCAAACTGAGAAGTTGCTTGTAATTTTTCACCTTTTGTTAATTTTCTTTACTGCTGTTTTTCAGGCCTCTATCCTTTCTCTGGTGACAAAAATAAACAATGTTATTGACAATTTGATTGTGGCTCCAGGAACATTTGAAGTGGTGAGTTTTTGATGATATAGTCTAGGAAAGGTTCCACAAAATCGCAGCCTTGGTTCTGTGGAAGTTGTCTTTGCTCCCGTCTCTTAGTTCTGCAGTTGCCTATTCTCTGAAGCCAAATCTTAAATGGGAAATTACAGTGAAATTCCTTTATAGTACTGATCTTAGGGACAAGGCTTGTATCATCATTTGCTAGCCATGATGTATTAGGCTATGTGATATGATTTGACCAAAGCTTTTTCCAAATCTTGGTATTAGGTTGTGTTGCAATAGAGTTCTGAGAGGAATTAGGCAGTTTTTTGACTTCTAATTTTTTTTTTTTCTTTTCTGAAACCTTAACAGCAAATTGAAGAAGTCCGACAGGTAGGATCTTACAAAAAGGGAACCATGACTACAGGACACAATGTGGCTGACCTGGTGGTGATCCTAAAGATTCTACCAACATGTGAGTGTACCTCGGTGCACAGAGGTCCGCTTTTAGAATAGGAATCTCTACAGCCCACATTTTTTGTGAGAAAGGCTGTTTGGAATACAAATGGGAAATTTACTTTTTATTTTATTTTTTTTCCTTAAGCATCCTACAGTGCACAGGACTGACCCTATCCCCATCCCCAAAAATGAATAATCCAGTCCCAAAATGGCATTATTGCCACTGGAGAGACTATAGAAGAGTGTGGGTATAGGAGGAGGGGTCCAGTTCTTGAACCTTCCAGTTTCTTTGTCCAGACATTAACTTCCCCTTGGTAAAGGGTATATTCTATTACTTCTTTTTTTTTTAAAGATTTATTTATGCATACAAGAACTGGGGTACAGGCCAGAGGTGTAGGGAGTGAGAGGATTCACCAGAGACAGGGTAGGGAACAGAACAGGCAGACTGACTGAAATATGCTGCTGAGGGGAGCAGTAGGCAAGCTAGGAGAGGTCTGCTGTGCCATGTGGGTAGCTCCCTGGCCGGGGATCGAACTCATGCTGCAGTGGCTGCGGATAGTTTCATAGGTTGCAGATATCTTAACCCCCTGTGCCACCAGGGAGGCCCTCTATTACTAGCTTTTGTTCCAGCTTTCAACATGGGATAGCAATCAGATTGCAAAAATGATAAGAAATATGTAAAAAGTTGACATAAATAATTATAATATTCATCATCTCCTTTTCCTCCAATCTAGTGGAAGCTGTTGCTGCCCTGGGGAACAAAGTCGTGGAAAGCCTAAGAGCACAGGATCCTTCTGAAGGTTTGAGTTCATTGCTAAGCATGTATTTAGTGATCGTAGGAGCCAGGTCTGATAATTATAACTACACTTTTAACAAACTCAGGTCAGGCAAGAAGGAAAGGTGAATATTTAGTTTTATATTAGTGAAGTTTTTGGCAGATCCTTATTCAGAATCCAGTTGATCACTCCTATGTCTAAAACTCTGTACTCGTTATGTACTCGTTTTTGTTTTTTAATAGAAGTAACAATGTTCTGCAGCACAGCATAAATTTTACATATATCTTATTACCTCAATATTTATATATCACACCATGCCTGCCACCAAAGTTTCCATCCATTACCATATACTTGATTGACCCTGTATACACATTCCATCTTCCCCACTTGTTAGAATCCAAGGGTTTGTTTTGTTTGTTCATTTGCTTTATCTTCTTCATCTCACTTATTTTCCCTTAGCATAATTCCCTTTATTTTTTTTTTTAAGATTTATATATTTATGCATACAAGAGCTGGGGCATAGGCCAGAGATCCAGGGGGTGAGAAGATTCACCAGAGACAGTGTGGGGAACAGAACAGGCAGATTAACCGGAATACACTGCTGAGGGGAGCAGTGGGAGAGTCAGGAGAGGTCTGCTGCGCCATGTGGGTTGCTCCCTGACGGGCCGGGGATTAAACTCCTGCTGCAGAGGCTTTGGATTGCTTCATAGTGTGGTGCTTAACCCCTTGCGCCACCAGGGAGGGCCACATAATTCCCTTCGAATCCTTCCATATTTTCATAAAGGGTGAGATATTGTTGTTTCATTATTTTTTTTTAAGATTTATTTATTTACGCATATAAGAACTGGGGTACAGGCCAGAGGTATGGGGGCTGAGAGGATTCACCAGAATCAGAGTAGGGAACAGAACAGGTAGATTGAAATACACTGCTGAGGAGAGCAGCAGGCAAGACAGAAGAGGTCTCCTGCACCATGTGGGTCACTTCCCTGCCTGGCTGGGGATCAAACTCATGCTGCACAGGCTACGTATGGCTGTGGATAGCTGCACAGTGCTATGCTTAACCCCTTACACCACCAGGAAAGTTGAACTAGTGTTTCATATTAAGGTAAATACCCCAAAGTAGAATTGCTAGATCATATGATAGTTTTATGTTTTAAATTTCTTTTTTTTTTTAATGATTTATTTATTTTATTTATATAAGCACTGGGTACAGACAGAAACACGGGAGGGTGAGAGAATTCACCAGAGCCAGAGCAGGGAACAGAACAGGCAGACTGACAAAATACACTGGTGAGGGGAGCAGCGAGCGCAGCAGGAAAGATCTGTATGCTATGTGGGACCCTCACCGGCGGCTGGAGATCGAACCGGCGCTGCATAGGCTGTGGGCAGCTTTGCAGCCCAGTGCTCAACTGCTATGCCACCAGGGGAGGGCCTGTTTTAAATTTCTTGAGGAATCTCCATGCTGTTTTCCATAGTGACTGTGCTAATTCATATTACCATGTAAAGGTTCTCTTGTCTTTATTTATGTCCTTGTCGAGGACTCTTGCTATTTTTTAAAATAACCCCTACTTGGATTTAAGTTTGGTCATCTATGGGAATGCGGAAGTTTCAGCCTTTTTCTTTTCTTTTAGTTTTGACCATGCTGACCAATGAAACTGGCTTTGAGATTAGCTCTTCTGATGCTACAGTGAAGATTCTTATTACAACAGTGCCACCCAATCTGCGGAAACTGGACCCAGAACTCCACTGTTAGTCTTTTTTTCCATTGCTGGGAAATTGGGGTAAATTCAAAGCATGGAGTAAAGTTGCTGTTGAGTTTTCTTAAGCTTGTTGCTGTTCTTCTGCAATCTTTCTCTGGGGCTTACTTAGGTTTACCACAAAGTTTGTTTTCTCTATAATTTGAGGATACTTTTACCAGCTTGGTAGTGAACTTGTCAAAGACAGAATGGCTCAGAAAATACTTTGAGAACTTAAGAAAGGGACTGAGAAAATGCGTAAGAAGAGGTAGATTTTTTTTTGTTTAAAGATTGATTGATTGATTGATTTATATATACATACATACATACATACATACATACATACAAGCACTGGGTACAGTCAGAAGCGCGGGAGGGTGAGAGAATTCACCAGAGCCAGAGCGGGGAGCAGAGCAGGCAGAAGGACCGAAGTACACTGCTGAGGGGAGCAGTGGGCGGTAGGAGAGGGCTGCGCGCCATGTGGGACCCTCCTTCGGTGGCCAGGGAGCAGCCGGGGATCAAACCGGCGTTGCAGAGGCTGCGGGCAGCTTCGCAACCCAGTGCTCAGCTGCTGTGCCACTGGGGAGGCCCAAGAAGAGGTAGATTTTTGGAGATCTTGCATGTTTCTAGATTTGGTTTGAGGTAGGAAGGAATTAGTGATTTTTTGAACAAGTGACTCGCTGATCTGAGGACATAGGGTGATTTAAGGAATTCCTAAGTTTATCCTGTATTTGCTCAAGACTAAGGTGGTAGAATTGAATTGTTTAGTAATGTTTTATTTTGGTTTGTCATGCTTGACTTCAAGTGGATATCAAGGTGCTACAGAGTGCTTTAGCAGCCATCCGACATGCCCGCTGGTTTGAGGAAAATGCTTCTCAGTCCACGTGAGTCCCCTCCCTTTCTATTTTGAGTTAATTTAGCCATTCTCACGACAGTGAATAATAGCAGGATACCTCCATATTTCCTTTTTTTTTTTTTTAAAGATTTATTTACTTTTCAAATGTCCTGGACTTTATTTTTATTTTATTTTATTTTTTTAAGAGCTGGGGTACAGGCCAGAGATGGGGTGAGGGGAGAGGATTCACCAGAGACAGAGTGGGGAACAGAAGGGGCAGATGAACCGAAATACACTGCTGAGGGGAGCAACGGGCAAGTCCGGAGAGGTCTGCCTTGCCATGTGGGTTTCTCCCTGGCTGGCCAGGGATCAAACTCATGCTGCAGAGGCTGCAGATTGCTTCATAGTGCAGTGCTTAACCCCTTGCACTACCAGGGAGGCCCAAGATTTGTTTTTAAATCCACCCCAAGAATTGGCATGCAAGGGCCTCCCTGGTGGTGCAAGGGGTTAAGCACCATACAATGAAGCAATCCGCAGCCTCTGTAGCATGAGTTGGATCCCTGGCCAGCCAGGGTGCAACCCCCATGGCACAGCAGACCTCTCCTGTCTCACCCACCGCTCCCCTCAGCAGTGTATTTCAGTCAGTCTGCCTGTTCTGTTCCCCACTCTGTCTCTGGTGAATCCTCTCAACCACCCGCATCTCTGGCCTGTACCCCAGCTCTTGTATGCATAAATAAATACATTTAAAAAAAAAAACTGGTGTGCAAGCTAGAGGTGCTAGGGGTGGGGGGATGGGTGAAAGGACTCACCAGAGACAGCGTGGGGAGCACAACAGGCAGACTGACTGAAATACACTGCTAAGGGGAGCAGCAGGTGAGACAGAAGAGGCCTGCTGCACCATATGGGTTAGCTCCCTGGCTAGGGATCGAACTCATACTGCAGTGGCTGGGCAGTAGCTTCATAGTGCTGAGACTTGAACCCGTGCACCACCAGGGACACCCTCTATATTTCCTTTGAAAGAACTTTATGCTGTGCTCTTTCGTGTGGATTATTTTTTATTTTTTTAAAGATTTATTTATTTATACACGCACTGGGTACAGTCAGAAAGCGCGGGAGGGTGAGAGAATTGACCAGAGCAGGGAGCAGAGCAGGCAGAAGGACTGAGGTATGCTGCTGAAGGGAGCAGTGGGCGGCAGGAGAGGGCTGCGCGCCATGTGGGACCTTCCTCTGGTGGGCGGGGAGCAGCTGGGGATTGAACCGGCGCTGCAGAGGCTGCGGGCAGCTTCGCAACCCAGCCCTCAACCGCTGCGCCACCGGGGAGGCCCCCTGGGTTTTGATTTTTTTTTTGGTATCTTAAGTAAGCATTTTTTTTTTTTTTTAAATATATTATTGGAAGATATTTTTTTACCTTTTTATTTTTTTAAATTTATTTATGATTACAAGAGCTGGGGTACAGGGCAGAGGTGTGGAAGGTGAGAGGATTCACCACAGACAGAGCAGGGAACAGAATAGACCAAAGTACACAGCTGATGGGAGCAGCGGGCAAGTCAGGAGAGGTCTGCTACACCATGTGGGTAGCTCCTTGGCTGTGGATCGAACTCATGCTGCAGAGGCTGCAGACAGCTTCACAGACCAGCGCTCAACCTGTTGAGCCACCAGGGAAGCCCTTAAGTAAGCAATTTTGAGAAAAAGAGAACTTACAGTCTTGAAAATAACATCAGCTTTCTAAGTTAGTTGTGGATGTATGTGATCTTAGTTTAATCCCTGGTTCCCTCTTACCCTCAGAGTCAAAGTTCTTATCAGACTGCTGAAGGACCTGCGGATTCGTTTTCCTGGCTTTGAGCCTCTCACACCCTGGATTCTTGACCTACTAGTAAGTAAAGAAGGAAAGTTGGGGTTCCTAAGTCAAAAGTTACTCTGAAGGTAGAACCTAAAATTTGGTGAAGCTCAGAAGAAATCTTACCAGTGGACAAATAATCCAGTAAAGACTCAACATTTCTTTTTCTTTTTTTTTTTTTAAGATTTATTTATTTATGCATACAAGAACTGGGATGTAGGTCAGAGGTGTGGGGGGTAAGAGGATTCACCAGAGACAGAGTGGGGAATGACAGAAATACACTGCTGGAGAGCAGTGGGCAAGTCAGAAGTGTGCTGTGCCATGTGGGTCACCTTCCTGGCTAGGGATTGAACTTGTGCTGCAGTGGCTGCAGACAGCTTCATAGTGCTGCATTTTATTTTATCATTTATTTATTTATTCATTCATTCATTCAAGCACTGGGTACAGTCAGAAGTGCAGGAGGGTGAGAGAATTCACCAGAGCCAGAGCTGGGAGCAGAGCAGGCAGAAGGACCGAAGTACACTGCTGAGGGGAGCAGCGGGCGGCAGGAGAGGTCTATGCGCCATGTGGGTGGGACCCTTCTCTGGTGGCCGGGGAGCAGCCGGGGATCGAACTGGCGCTGCAGAGGCTGCGAGGACAGCTTCACAACCCAGCACTCAACCACTGCACCACCAGGGAAGCCCATTCTGCCTATTCTGTTCCCCATGCTGTCACTGGTGAATCCTCTCACCCCCTGCATCTCTGGACTGTACTCCAGCTCTTGTATGCATAAATAAATCTTTTTTTTAAAAAAGAAATTATTGAATGAGTAGTTGCAGAATTATATCTGAATATGAAAATTTTGGTTAAAGCCTGTTTTTTCATGAGGGTTTAATATGTTTGTTTGAAGCTAGAATTGCCACTTGGATGATATACCTATCAGATTTATCACTTTTCAGGGTCACTATGCTGTGATGAACAATCCCACGAGACAGCCTCTGGCCCTAAATGTGGCTTACAGGTATAGCAGATGTCTTTGGATTTGGGGCTGGGTGTTAGTTGTCTTGTGTTTGGTTTTGTTGTTGTTGACTTATTTATTTTTAAAGATTGGTGTTTTTTGAATACAAGAACTACAGTACAGGCCAGAGGTGCAGGGGGTGAGAGGATTCACCAGAGACAGAGTGGGGTACAGAACAGGCAGATCTACTGAAACACTGCTGAGGGGAGCAGTGGACGAGACAGGAGAGGTCTGCCTTGCCATGTGGGTTATCTCCCTGGCTGGGGATTGAACTCATGCTGCAGTGACTGCTGATAGCTTCATAGTGCAGAGACTTACCCCTTTCACCAACAGGGAAGTCCTGTTGATTTAATTTTAATACAGGCACATCTTGGAAATACTGCAGGGCTGGTTATAGACCACCACACTAAAGTGAATAATCACATTAAAGCAGGTTATATGAACTTCTTGGTTCCCTAGTTCATATAAAAGATATTTACTCTAGGGCTTCCCCGGTGGCGCAGCGGTTGAGCACTGGGTTGTGAAGCTGCCCGCAGCCTCTGCAGCGCCGGTTCAATCCCCGGCTGCTCCCCGGCCACCTGAGGAGGGTCCCACATGGCGCGCAGACCTCTCCTGCCGCCCGCTGCTCCCCTCAGCAGTGTACTTCGGTCCTTCTGCCTGCTCTGCTCCCCGCTCTGGCTCTGGTGAATTCTCTCACCCTCCCGGGCTTCTGACTGTACCCAGTGCATGTATAAACAAAACAAACAAACAAACAAATAAATAAATAAAACATGCCTCTATAAAAAAAAAAAAATCTTTAAAAAAAAAAAAGATATTTACTCTATACTGTGGTTGGTTAAATGTGCAACAGCATTATGTCTTTAAAAAAAAATAAATAAGGCACAGAAAACGTACATACTTTAATTAAATGTATTAGCACTGGTAGACATCCTCTATTTGGTGTTACCACAAACCTTCAGTTTGTTAAAAAAATAATAATAATAAAAAACAAGGTATGGCTGTATTTATTTAAAGTAGTATGTTTGCATTAACACATAATCTGTGTGTTAACACTTTGTTTTTAGGCGTTGCTTGCAGATTCTGGCTGCAGGATTGTTCCTGCCAGGGTCAGTGGGTATCACAGATCCCTGTGAGAGTGGTAACTTCAGAGTACACACAGTCATGACTTTGGAACAGCAGGTATGAAATGGCCTATTGTGCCCCAGTCTTGAGTACTCTTGGTCAGAAGGCAAAGAGAATGTGGTCTTTAGGGTTGAGGGATTTGGGGGTTCTTAAAAACTTTGGTCTTGAAATTAAAAATTACGTCTATTTGTATGAGAATGTTAGACAAATAAGGTACTTCCTCTTTGCTAATCTACCCTCTCTCTCCTTCAGGACATGGTCTGCTATACAGCTCAGACTCTGGTCCGAATCCTCTCTCATGGTGGTTTTAGGAAGATCCTTGGCCAGGAGGGTGATGCCAGCTGTGAGTAAATTTTGTGGTTTGGGGTTCTTATGGTATCCTGAGGCTCTACATTATTCTTTTTCCACTGTATAGGTTATGACTATGTGCTAGGTTGTCTGAAATCACTTTTTTAAAATAAAATATTTATTTTTATTTATGCATACAAGAACTAGGGTGGAGGCCAGAGGTATGGGGGGTGAGAAGATTACCAGAGACAGAGTGGGGAGCACAGCAGGCAGATCTATTGAAAAACACTGCTGAGGGGAGCAGCGGGCAAGACAGGACAGGTCTGCTGCACCATGTGGGTTAGCTCCCTGGCCAGGGATTGAATTCATGCCTCATGCAGCAGTAGCTGGCAATATGATAGCGCTGAGACTTTAACCCCTTCACTGCCAGGGAGGCCCTGAATGAAATCATCTTTTTTTCCTCTTCTAGACCTTGCTTCTGAAATATCTACCTGGGATGGGGTAATAGTGACACCTTCAGAAAAGGCTTATGAGAAGCCACCAGAGAAGAAGGAAGGAGAGGAAGAGGAGGAGAATACAGAAGAACCACCTCAAGGAGAGGAAGAAGAAAGCATGGAGACACAGGAGTGACCCAAGAGGAAGAATGGAGCATAAGCTAACTCCTACTGAGCTTTATGTGGTGGCATTTTTGCGGACAAGGGAGATAGAAGGAAAGTGAACTTCAGAAGAAAATGTCATTCCAGTGGGTTCTGACATTGGCTTAGTAGCCAGAAGTCTCCATTGCCCTATGCCGTCCATCTGTAGTGAAGCACGATACCAACTTCTAATACTTTAGAATTCCCATCTCTTGGAAACCTCTCAACCATTAGTTTGTTGTTGAAATGTTATGAATTTATAGTGTCTGGACTTTTTTTTTTTTTTTTTTTCTAAGAAAAATGATTAAAATACTTCCTAGTAGGGCTTTTGGTCTTGATTTTCCTTGGCATCTGGCAACCTTTTTGGCTGCCTTTTGCCTTCTATACTCTTTCTTCATTGAAAATGATAGTCTTCATTGTAAATACTGGATCACAATTTGAAGATATAAGTGAGTTAAAGTACAAAGACTCTTGGAACCTTCCCATATACCAGAGTAAACTACTGTTTAAGCATTTATTGAATTTAATGGTTCCAGCAATACTGCTGCTCCACTCAAGCCAGTGCAATCAGTAAGAGGGTGGATAGGTCATTCACCTGTCTGCTTTTCCAAACTCTCAGTGTAAATAATGGAAAATGAGAAGTCATGGGGAGAGGACATGCTGCTAAGGCCTCAACCACCTGGCAGGTAGCAAAGGAAGCTCTTTCCTGGTTAACTAGACACGAAGGTAGAGAAAGTAGTGGGCTTTAAGTACGTAGCTTTAAAAGAAATGGTAGAGGTCTCATCTCATTCTTGGAAGCAAGAGTCAGAGTGTCTCAAGATCCCGAATCCTGCAGCACACAGCCTTCTTTGGGCCCCAACATAAATAGGTAAAATTTAAGTGCTTCAAACACAAACCATAGGGCTGCCTTTTTGATGTCCAAGGTCAACAGAGTCCTGGAGTCTTCTCTGTGGAAGCAAGGGAGCTGGGGATTAGTACTTGTGCTATATATATTTGTGAGGTGATAGGCCCATCTTCTGGCCTATTACTTGCTTGGGGATCCAGGGGGGTAAACTCCTGAGTCCAGCATTGCCCTCCTGCGGGCTGTTTCCTTGGCAACACTGTGGTTTAGCCTCCTCAGCCGTTCCTACAAGACAAGGAAAATTTGGAATCTTAATAGCTGTGAAAGGCTTTAGAGCTCATTTGTCAACAAGGCCTTGGGGAAAAAACAGGCCTGGTCCACCTCAAAGTCTTCTAAGTTCTATAAAAATGTAAATGACAGTAACTGGGTATACAGAATAGGAATAAAAAGTTCTACCACTTCCTCAAAGCCTTCAAAAATTTCAGTGACTTTCATTGTGTTAGGGACTTTGTGACATTCCTTGAAAAGAGGAGGCTACCCTGAGGATTACAAAGCAGGGCAAAGAATCACTGTTGGTAAATTCTTTTACCTGGGCATTCTGTAGAATGTTGTTGACCAAGACAACTCGTCTCCGGGCGTTAAGAAGCTTCTTCACGTAGGGGTCAAGATCCAGGGCCACCTTCTGATCCTCATTGATTCGGCACAGCTCTGGGGGATGGATGTAAGGTGCAATTAACACCTAATGGTTTTTGGGCCTCCCCGGTGGCGCAGCGGTTGAGTGCTGGGTTGCGAAGCTGCCCGCAGCCTCTGCGGCGCCGGTTCGATCCCCGGCTGCTCCCCGGCCACCAGAGGAGGGTCCCACATGGCGCGCAGACCTCTCCTGCCGCCTGCTGCTCCCCTCAGCAGTGTCCTTCGGTCCTTCTGCCTGCTCTGCTCCCCGCTCTGGCTCTAGTGAATTCTCTCACCCTCCTGTGCTTCTGACTGTACCCAGTGCATGTATAAACGAAACAAACAAACAAATAAATAAATAAAACATGCCTCTATTAAAAAAAAAAAAAAAAACAACTAATGGTTTATCTCTAGTTTTTAATACAGGTAAATGAGGTGGAAAACATTTTTGTACCTACATGGGGCACAGTCATCAGAAACTTAAGTGGGAGTCCACTGGCAACCCTAATGTCCTGGAAGCAAGGGATAGAAACCCAGCCCAGAGTTTGGCAAAACATAAGATACTGAAAGTGAGTTGGAGGATTCCAGGTACACGGGATGCCCACTCACCGGTAGCTAGGTTGTCAATTTGTTCCCGTAGCTCCACCTGGCTCTCTCTGCAAAGATGCACAAGGTCTACAGGGTCAGACAGTTAATGCGACTCATGACACTAATTCCCAATTGCTGAGAGAAGACGGTCTCAGCCCTTTAAGGCTTTCCGCCCCTCTTGCGAGGCCCCAGTTTCCCAAATTTTTCTTAGTCCCACCTGAAAGCGGCCGGAACCCATCTTGGCTCCGCCCTTCCTCGGGCCCGCCCCTACAAAGCCAAATCGAGAGGCCCCGCCTCAATCTTCCCTCTCAGGCACCTGACGGCGTGGACGTGAGAGTCGAGCTGCTGCACAGCCGGTCGCAGGAATTCGAGGAGACCCTCAGCGAACAGGTCGCGGCCTGCGGGCCCCGCCACCGGGGTCCCCGCACCAGACACGGCGGCGGAACCAGCCCCCGCCATCACGCACTGTCCTTACGCCCGGAACCGGCCGCGAGGGCCGCCGGGTACTGAAGCACCGCTGAAGTGTGTCGGGAGGGGGCGCTCCCGACCTGGACGCTGGGATTCCTGGGAAATGGAGTCTCTGCCGCTGCAGGGCGGGGAGAAAGGCCGCCCGGAGCCCGCTGGGAGTTGTAGTTCTTTTTAGGACTTCAAGAAGTGGATTTTGTAACTCTGCATCTTGAGGGCTAGGATGCAACCATTTTGGAGGTTGGGAACTTTTTTGTTTTCTGCAAAGATGAAAAATAAATGTTTATATTCCCAGTTGTCCATAACCTTCCTGTGTTAACTTTATGAGAAAATCAGATTATATTCATAGCATAGTTTTTTTTTTTTTTTATAGCATAGTTTTTTTATTGTTTTTGCGTAGAAGATCTGGGGTGTAGATCAGAAGTGGGGAGGAGGCACTGGAAGTGTTATAGGACAGGGAGAGGGGCAGCCCAAACCCCACAAACCTGCCTATTCTAAATGGGTTCTGCCATCCGCCGCATCAACACAAAACATAGGAGACTTTAATGGGAAGGAACTTTAATAAAACTAGGAAACAATACAGGTAAGGCAAAGAGTCTAGTTTCTAAATGAAGCACCCAAAGTTACCCATCCCCTCGTGGGTAAAAGTCCATCCATATGGGAATGGCGCAGAGCAAGGCCCCAAAGCCTGCCACAAGTCTAAAGCATCTTCCAGTGGGGACCCACAGAAAAGGGTCAGAAACAACCAGACAAGCCCGGAAGGAAAAGAGCAAAAATCAACATCAAGATAAAAGCTGCCATTGTCACCTCCCCATGGGTCTCACCCACATCTGTGTCACCCAGTCCATGACCAAAAGACAAGTGCAGTTTCTTCACGTGTCTCTAGGCTCCATGCGCCTCCTCCAGGTCTCCTGGCTCCATCCTGCTTCCTTCCTCAGTCTCCTCTCCAGCTTCTCCTCTTCCTGCTCAGCTCCACCCTCCCTTGGGTGGGGCAGGGAACCTCCCCCTTTCCTGGGGACCACCCTGTTACAGAAGGATTCACTGAAAGGATTCAGTGAAATACACTGCTGAAGGGAGAAGTGGGTGAGAGAGGAGAGGTCTGCTGTGCCATATGTGGGTTAGCTCCCTGGCCAGGGATTGAACTCAGGCTGTAATGGTGATAGTGATGCAGGATAAGAATAGAAAAACTGGGGGCCTCCCCGGTGGCGCAGCGGTTGAGCGCTGGGTTACAAAGCTGCCCGCGGCCTCTGTGGCGCTGGTTTGATCCCCGGCTGCTCCCCGGCCACCAGAGGAGGGTCCCACATGGCGCGCAGACCTCTCCTGCCGCCTGCTGCTCCCCTCAGCAGTGTACTTCGGTCCTTCTGCCTGCTCTGCTCCCCGCTCTGGCTCTGGTGAATTCTTTCACCCTCCCGCGCTTCTGACTGTACCCAGTGCATGTATAAACAAAAGAAAGAAAGAAAGAAAGAAAAAACATGCCTCTATAAAAAAAAAAAAAGAATAGAAAAACTGGAAAGGAGATACAAGGTCAAGAACCTAACTCACATAAGAGAGTAGGGGTAGAAGGGATTAGCATAATCCATTAACCCACTTATAGAAATCAAGACCCTTAGGCATCAACACCCAGATCAGGACGTGCAACACCCAGAAACTATCAGACTGCTATAGGGAGTGTCAAAGGCACAAACCATCCACCCACAAAGATGAGCCCCTCCCTGAAGATGATAAAACCTAACTCAGCCCTCACAATGGGGCAGCACTCTGTCTGCCCACCTGTGTCTATGCAGGTGCTTCCTTTCACCAACTCTCCCCCTCTGCAGGGCAGCAGCCTTCCTGCCTGCCCATGACCTGTACCATGCCTGGACTTCTCACTGACCTCCCTCATCGGAGGCAGTTCTCAAGGCCGCCTGCCTGCAACCATGCAGGCCTCTCAGCAAAACCTGTCCCTTTCCCCAATAAACCTGCTCTTTAAATATAACTAACATCTCTGTTTGATGGAGAAACTCGCCTGGGGAAACTCGCTGTGTGCCGCTGAAAAGGGAGCTCTGGAAACCTTTCCCAAAGTGAACCCAAGGACCCTGCACTCTACAGAACTCCAATAGTGCTAAGACTTAACCCCTAGGCCACCAGGGCGGCCCCATAGCATAATTTTATACTTAAACCAGATTATATTTGTAGCATAGTTTTATATTTCTAAATTTAGGAGTGTATTCTTATATTGTTCTAAAGTATGTACAAAACTGCATGTGATAGTTAGCCTGTCAAATCACAAAAACCCAAAATAGTTGATTTTTAAAACTAGCTCTAGCTGACTTTACTAAATCATTGGGGCAGCATTCCATCTAGAAAGTAGAATGGCACGGCAGGAAATTGTGTAAAATGGAATATTTTTATAGTCAGAAAAAGGGTGTGGGGTCCTTGCTGGTGGCGCAAGAGTTTAAATTTTAGCAGTGTGAAGCTATCAACAGCCGCTGCAGCATGAGTTCCATTCCTGGCCAGGGAGGTGACCCACATGGCTCAACAGACCTCTCCTGTCTTTCCTGCTGCTCCCCTCAGCAGTGTATTTCAGTCAATCTGCCTCTTCTGATCCCCACTCTGGCTCTGATGAATCTTCTTACTACCCCCACCCCCAACCTCTGGCCTATACCCCAGCCCTTATATGCATAAATAAATAAAATAAATATTAAAAAAAAGAGGGTGTGATCAGGTCATTAGCAAAAGAAAAAGATTACTTCAGGCAAAAGCACCTTCCTTTATTCACCCTAAGCAAGGGTGTTTTATTATGCAAGTGACTTCACCTGTGTTAATTTGATTAAATTTCTGCTTTTGGGAGAGGCTGAGACAGCAATTAAGTATGGGACTTGAATTCCCATTTTTTGGGTCTTTTTTTGTTTTTCTTTTTTATAAGTCTTAAAAAGGAATGAAATTCTGATACATGTTCATTTATGGATTAACCTTAAGACATCTTGTAAAGCAAAATAGGCCAAATACAAAAGGACAGATGCTGCATGATTCTACTTTATTTGATGCACCTAGAGTAAATTCAGAGGTAAAATGTGATTTTATCTTGTTATCAGAAAGTGGTTACTTGGGGAAAGGAGATTGGGGAGTTATTGTTTAATGGTTATGAGTTTCAGTATGGGATAAGAAAGTTCTGGAGATGGTTAGTGTTCCTCCCAGTAAAGAGTTAATCGGCTTTATCAAAAGATTTATGGGGTAACAGCCCATCTAACAAATAGAAAGGACTGTACAAACTGGAAGGCCTTTACAGATTTGAGGGGGAGAAATAAGGAAGAGAGTGAATTGTTTTCTACTGGGATCACCTTCCCTGGAGGATGAGGGATCTCTCTGGCAGATCACCTAGCTAATGTTGGCTAATGTTGAGGTTGAGTAATGTCAGAAATTTCAGACTGACTGACTGATTCAAGATTACATTCATGAGAAGGCAGAAGTCTCTGAGTTAGTTCAGGTTCCTTTTGGAAGTAGGGTAGCCACATTCAGAAAACCAAACAAAAGTCCAGGGACACTAGGCAAATTTGAATTTCAGATAGACAAGTAATTTTTAAAGTATTTTATCTAGTAATCCTACTTCAAAGGCTGGTTCTCTGAGGAAAATCACTCTGCTGTGTAGTCATACTTTCCACTCCTTTTATCAGCTCACCTCTGCCACTTCACCTGGAGTTAGCCCTTATCTCTCCTGACAGCATTGCAACAGCCTCCAGTCTGTCTTGCCTCCTCTATTCTCTCTGCTCCAGGTCAATCTGCACTCTAAATACTAGTCTGATTACATAATAGCCCTGCCTAGAGAAAATTAGGGGCCTCTTGGTTTCTTAGGTATTTGCTTGGGCAAGTTTTCTTACAGAAACCCTGAACTTCTGTAAGAGGTTGAAGGCCAGTGATCGTTCAATTATTCTTTCTTTTTTTTTTTTTTAAGATTTATTTATGTGTACAAGAACTGGGGTACAGGCCAGAGGTGCAGGGGATGAAAGAACTCACCAGAGACAGATTGGAGAACAGAACAGGCAGACTGACTGAAATACAATGCTGAGGGGAGCAGTGGGTGAGAGGTCTGCTGCGCCATGTGGGTAGCTCCCTGACTGGGGATCAAACTTGTGCAGCAGAGGCTGGGGACAGGACAGCTCCATAGTGCTGTGTCTTAACCCCTACGCCACCAGGGAGACCCTCAATTATTCTTTCAACATCAGTTTCAGGCATCATGGCACAGATATAAACCCCTCCTTCGCGCTTGCACCCATATCACATAGCAGTGGCACTCCAGTCCTTGGCTTTTCCATGGGGGCTGAGGGAGATGTAGGTCATTAGTACCCCCACCCCCTCTTCCAGAGGTGCTTAGGTTGACCCTTCTGACTGACTTCCTGCACTTGGGTCTGCGTAGGTTCACAAGGAAGCTCTGCAGAAACATGGTGTCTCTGCCTGGAAGCCAGCTGCATACCTACACCCAATGTGGAGCCTTCGTGGGGTGGGGTCAGGTTTTATTAGAGGGTGCTTCTTGTGTATGTGAGCGTGTGTGTGTGAGGGAACAGAATATTGTCTGGTGATGGCTCTAACTGGGGAGGAGTATCTGAGAATTAGTTTCTATAGGCCTCTGTCAGGGCCAGGTAGGGCCAGGGATGTTCTGGAGCCCTACACTGCTTTCATGGAGTTGCTGATGTGGGCAGCAGTACCAATAGGAGCAGGGAAGCGTAAGACAGGCAGTTGGGAGACCTGAGATGGCAGCCCCCCCATAGCTGTTGTCCTCATGGTAGGTTCTCTGGCCAGACCTGGGGCAGGTCAGATTCCAGGACTCCTGATCATAACAAAGGGGTCAGAAATTGAAAGTGGGGTCCTGGCAGCTTGAGTTTTTTTTTTTTTTAAATAATTGGCATTTTTTAAAAAAGATTTATTTATTTATTTATATAAGCATTGGGTACAGTCAGAAGCGTGGGAGGGTGAGAGAATTCACCAGAGCCAGAATGGGGAGCAGAGCAGGCAGAAGGACCGAAGTACACTGCTGAGGGGAGTAGGGGGCGGCAGGAGAGGTCTGCGCGCCATGTGGGACCCTT